CCGTGTCCGGATTTGAATTGTGAAAATGTGGCTTCATTGCAACATAATGCTTTCTCTGAAACGTATTTACATGCGTGTTTTCTCTTGCAGTGTGGATCCATTCTCCAAGAAGGATTGGTATGATGTCAAGGCACCAGCCATGTTCAACATCCGCAACCTGGGCAAGACCTTGGTCACCAGGACTCAGGGAACCAGTAAGTGCTTTTTATGTCCACGGTGTCTGTTTCTCCACACAGATTTAGCATGAATTGTTAACCCTGCTGGGAAAGAGCATATCTTGCTGTACAATAAGAGCCATGTGTCCCAATTGTTTGTTGCGAATAAGTGCCGTATTGCAGTGGGAATACATAATGACAGTAGTTTCAGTCCCAGATGAAAAACTGATTACTGTTGTGAGATCACCTGACATTCCCATAAAATCTTTAAGCATCATAGTACTACAAACTGCAGTAAATTTGACACCGTGTCTTTGTAATCTAGGAATTGCCTCTGATGGTCTGAAGGGACGTGTGTTCGAGGTCAGTCTGGCTGATCTGCAGAACGACGAGGTGGCCTTCCGCAAGTTCAAGCTGGTCACAGAAGACGTGCAGGGCAAGAACTGCCTCACCAACTTCCACGGCATGGACCTCACCCGTGATAAGATGTGCTCCATGGTCAAGAAGTGGCAGGTAAATCAAAGTTAACACGTGACCTTTACTCAGTGTAGGGTGCTTGCCATTACAGAAAAGCCACACTGTTAAGTAAAAATGGTTGTACCCCTTTAAGTGGCATTCACACTACATTTCTTTTTCTGTTCACGTTCGTGCAAATGCATGCAAGTGCTTAAGACTGGAAACGCAAAGTTACAAGTTTGGTGAAGATATGTAACCAATGGAAGATGGATACATCCTGGTGTGACCTCTTAGCTGAATTGAAAGACACAAACGTTAAAGCTGCAGGTTTGCAGCATTGCATTTTGGATTTTTATGTTTAAAAAAAAAAAAGACTCCACAGTGACATTGCATCATGATCATTGTAGTGTCTGAA